ATTTCCTTCATGAATATTTTTTCTAATCAGATCTTTACTGCAGGCCCGTAGAACGCGGGGCTGAGGGGGTGGGAGGGGGAGTCCGAGTTTAGAATTCTGCTATAGTAAATTTTCCTTTAGATGCTGGTTACCCCTACCCCTTTTGATGTTGTAAGGTCGAGCACTGGCAAATTCCAGGATTTGGACGGTAAATTTGCTTTTTTTTTTGTTCTTGTCAGATAATTTTGGTAAGTCCCCCCCCCCCACTTTTGGTCAGTTAAGGTTTTTTTTTTTTTTTTTTTTTTTTGCTTGTCAGATTTTTTTTTTTTAGAGGTTGCCTCCCCCCTTTTGAAACCGTTGCTACGGGCCTGTATTGGTAGCAAAATCCTTAACTCCAAAATATCTCTATGATTTAATCCGTAATATGTGAATCGTTCTCTCTCTCTTTCTCTCTCAATAATTTTTGTGTGTAGTTTGGTACTTTATAAAGTTAGTTTCCATATTCATGATTTATTAGAAAGTCTTCAAAATCTTTGTTACAGGATCAATGAATATCCCCACTCTCGATAAAAAAATGTAATTGGTTTATTTATGCTTTTATGCATAATAGTAATTAAAAAAAAGTAGGCGCCTGGCATATGGACCGGTCCTGTAGTACAAATAGTCAATCTCGTGTTAAGCTGTGACATATAACGAAAAATTAAAAACCATATTTGAAAAGACTTGAATAGATGTCATCTTCTAGATACGAATCTTTATTCCGTATCAGATCGAAATATTCACTTGAATTTGTCAGATTTGTTGGAGGTGTTTAGGTGGCATGAAAAGTAACAGTTTGACGAGGTCTGGTAGGTCGATTTTATGACCATGCTCTTTTATAGTTCTTCAATCCAGCTACTACATTTAGGTTTATCAAATATGACAGATGACATTCTCTCTCTCTCTCTCTTTCTCTCTCTCTCAATAACGCATATTAACGACTGGAATTCTTCCCTAAATTCCGTGACATTTTCCTTATTTAGGTGTGAAATGAGCTCCTCATTAACGTCTTCCTTGCCTTGTTGTCTAAGTTTTTTTTTCCTTATTTATAACTTTAGGTGTAAGAAGGCGGAATAATTGAATTCAAATACTATCTAAAACAGGAAAAAAAAATGTAAGCCTAATCTTTTAACATGGACTGTCAGCGTCCACTCAGATATCGTGATTTATACCATAAAAGATAGAAAATGTCGCATTGTGTTTGCTAAAATTTTTAAAAGGTATAAATTAATCAATTTGATATGCAAAAGAGAAAAGTAGCGAAAGCAATACACGTGTATTAACAATTCCCATGCTTGAGAATATTGTGCAAGACTCCTGATGAACAAGTTTTTTTTGTGCTAAACTTCATTCTGTTGGCAATTTTAACAACATGGGGGATATAGCCGATACGTCCTTTCTGTGTAACTTCTTGAAGTCAACGTGTTAAATCAATGAGAAAAAATCAACTCCATCTCAAAAATGCTGTGGGTTTTAGCACCCTAAAACTAATGGAAGTTTTAAAAGCAGAATTAAAGTCAAGTATTTTTAAGAAATATCACTGTTCTCCCATTGAGAACCATTATAAAAATTTGAACACTTGAGGTGAGGAGAAAGCAGCGAGATTATGCTGGCACTTAGCCTTCAAGATGTCACAACCCAAAGACTCATGAGGAACCCAAGAGGTCTTTTTTCAAGGCACGTGGAGTCTCTTCTATGACGCAATGCTATCCATCATCATAACTGTGTATGGTTTCCTTGTTATAAGTGTTCTGGAATGTCAACATTGGAATGAGAGATTGAATTCCTTTTTTAAACATATTTTCGTGGGGGTGGAATTATCACGTAATTTCCAGTTTATCCTTTGATCACCATAAATTTTAACACACACACAGAGACGTATATATATATATATATATATATATATATATATATATATATATATATATATATATATATATATATATATATATATATATATATATATATATATATATAATTCATTTTTCTTGCATCCACGTTTTGACGATGTTTTTTTTAAAGAAACATAGTTGTAGAAAGTCCTTTTCGTCAAAACATGAACCAGATCGTGTAAGGTCTATCTGAAGCGACATTTTTGGGATCTGCATCTTGGTATGGATGTTCAATCACCAAAAAAGTACTTTAGATTTCAGATGAATAATAAGCTGCCTGCCTGCACGTTACTTCGTTCAGAAACAGTTACAATATGTCGAGCCTAATTCCCTCTTCTTGATCTTTGACTATAAATAGTAACGACAGGTTCAGTGCTTTCCCACGCTTTGTCAGTTTCTTTGCTGTATAAAGGAAATGTAGCAATCATTGACAAATGTAGCAATCATTGACAAATGTAGCAAACATGGGCAAATGTAGCAAACAGTAGCATCTAGCTGTAGCAAACCTAAACATAAAAGGAAGACGATAACTAGTCTTATTGATATGCTAGACTACAAGCTTTAGATGCATTCACATGGACATGAAACACTTTAGATTATTTCTCAATAAATGAATCCCACCTTCTCATAATCTCATTCATCAAATGCTTTATTTGTCCTTTAAAATATGAATACATGTATTAGGAAAAGAAATCCTGATTTGACAAAACAAAAAAAAAATGTCACGATGCTGTTTCCTTTTTGCTACTAATATACCTATAATTTTTGGTAATTACGTACTAGTGTTGAACTTGTGTTCTGGTTTTTAATTGAATAACTGCAGGATAACAAACAATAAACTCCTCCCACCTCCTCTATCCGTTATTGGTCAGAATTGTTTTCAGAGATTTTCTAGATTCGAAGAGGAAGTTCTTTCGTTGTTTGCACATAAGTATTACATTTCACTCACGACCAATGTCTGCACTTCGTCTGGCAGATCTAAGGCTACAAACACAGACTCCTTTCTCTTGTATAAACGGGTGCGTTCGATTGGCGTTTTCAAGTACTTGCCATGTTCTGGGTATAGAGTATTTTCTCTTGACACTGATAACATTGCATGCTATTTTCTTTCTTCACTTCCCAGACATCCACCCTCATCTCCAGTGGGAAAAAAATGTCGAGAAAGGAATCCCTCTGTCTCCATTACGTATTCTGTTCCCCATCCTCAGACGACTACGGGTTTAATTTGAGATTTTTATGAGGACTGGAGAGCTTTATGGAAGGCGAAAGTTGACAAAAGTTTATAAACACTACGCCCAATTCTCGCATACAAGGCTCTTGTCTGTGGCCTGAAGAGCCGGTAAACAGCTCTCTAAGTGTCTAGCTAGACGTCGGGCCCTAGTCTCAATTGGAGGGTAAATAGTCCTGACGCGTGCTACCTCAGTCTGTATCTAAAATTAATGTTTTATCTCTTGCTTTGTGTGAAAATTAACTTTCTCCGCGTTTACTAGGCGTCTATATAAAACACAGACTTGAGAAACAGATGTGATAGTTATTCACTTCTGCATTTTAAGAGTACTATGATTTCTAACTGGGGACTTGAATTCTTCCAATTACTTAAAAAAATATCTATATATTAATTTATTTAGAAAATCTGAATGGATCGGGCAGCAGATAATGCCTATTAATACCATCTCCATATTGATTGAATACAATTTCAAATACCTGAAATATTTTGGGGAAAAAATTTGTTCTTTTTCTATGGTCATGAATTAATTTTTAATTCTGTAGCTTTTTGAGATCCTTTTCCCCTTAAATCCCATAGATAACAAATGAAATAAATAATATTAATTCTAAACACATCAACTGTAAAAAAGAAATTCATACAAAAATCTAGTCCACATAAATAAAGTCGATGTTGACTCAGAATTTTGATACACAGGATACATATATAGCACATGACAATCAAGCAGTTTTGTGTTTCAACCATAGGGGCTTGTCTTCTGGATTGTTAAATGTAAAATAAATTTAAAAAAAAAATTAATCTACTTTAAATACACTTAAAAGTTGTTGAAATAAAGATTCTGACACTTTTAGTCAAGAAAAAACACGTTTAAGGATATACGATCCTCAGCCAGGAAGGATAACTCTTTAATTTAGTATTCAATTCAAAAAAAGTCTCAAAATGAAGCTTATATATGAAATCTTTTCATGCAACAATTTTCATTTTATATTTTATGCATCTAATTGTGATTCCAGGTTCTTTGAAATTTCAGAAACAGTCTTTTAAAACGTTGATATTTTTACCCTGTAAAGATATGTTAAAAATACAGATTTGAAGAAATCGACTTTTCCTTCAATTTAGCGTTAGATACCAATGCTAATTAGCATAATATGAAATTAGAAATGATTTATGGTGTTTTGCAATGATAGGAAACGCTTTATAAACCATGCATTATAAAATAATTGAAGTACACAGAAGAAACTTAAGTACTGTGTAAATATAAAAAAATTTCTTGAAATGCCTGGATACCTATAGTTTTTTTTTTTTTATCCTAAAATGTTTTTGTTGATCAATTTCCAATTAGAAAATGCATAGTTGGTATCTTTATTCGCATTTCCTGAAAATTTATTTTACTAATTTTTCCTATATAATATGATTAACTTTAATGAGGAGGTTTGAACAATTATCGTGGGTAAATTCACATTACTTTGAGAATTCAGAGACATTCAGAACCTGAGGATTGGACTACCTCAAAAAAGACGTCCCACACCTTAGTCCTATATATACCGGCATAGTTTATGTATATAGGTGTGGTACGTCTTTTTTAAACCAGGGACGTATACTGGTATATGTAGGCTACATGTACTCGTATATAAATCTCTAAGTGATACGACTGGTATAAAAACAGCGGTTTTCGATTTTCGATATAGTAAATAAGATATGATCATACTGACTTATAATGAACTCTTGCGATTATGATAAACAGATAGTGCGCAACGAACGACAACTCTAGAAGAATGGATAGATTTTATATCGGACTCGAAATTCTGATATTTATGTTTGAACCGGAAATAGAAAAATATGGAGGGAAAGACAAAAAAAAATTAAAATTAAAATAGAAATTTTCATGGATATTTAAACATCTATTAGATTTTTGAAGAAATAATTTGAGAAAATTACATTCAAGGTAGAGTATGTTCATTTCTATTTGATTTTCATTGTTGATGATGCATGATATTGATAAAATCGGTTATCTTGTTTACGACAGCATTTTATGATGCATATTACTTAAGTAAATCTAATTTGCTTCTATGATTTTATGTAACATGCCACATGGTGTGATCGTTTGTGAGTGTGAAGCCATCATAAGAGCAGTTATACATTATTGTAATACATACCAAAGTAGGTGTAAACAATCAGGGTCTGACAGAGAGAATATCATGATCTCCTTTCTCCTGTTCGTCAGTCAATGAAAGAAGGGAATGTATGTTAGATTTACAGAGACTGGAAGAATGCAAAACCTCATGCTCAGATATTTCACTATGAGCTATCTTGACGGGGCACTCAAGGTAATCAGAAGAGGAGGTACATATGTTGCGATCACACCCCAATTTTTAGCTCTACTGGTCAGAGAGCTTATGCAATAGTAATGTATCTGTCATGCGTCCGACTGTCTGTCTTCAAACAATTTCTCTAAATGCTACAACTCCTAGTTTTGGTCTGATTTCAGTATAACTTGGCACACAAGTAGACTGCACTAAAATACAAATTTCTGTATATTGGGTTTTGATTTTGATGAATAGTGTTGCTATACATGTTAACTCTACTGCTTTTGGTGGAAGTCTACTCCATCTCCCACCTACCGATTTTATTCGTTAATCTACTGCTTTTCTACAAAGTCCATTTTTGGTTTGCTTGGTTAGCCATTTTTGAAGCCACTCGTCATAAAATCTTGTTTAAATTTGAAAAATTTTGAAGCCATAAGACATAATTGTGGCCCTGCCTCTTGAAAAGATCTTTTATTTTCCTTTATATTCCAATACCAAATAAATCCCTTATCATGCTTATTGTGGCCAAAACCTACCTATAGGGGGAAATGTTTTGAATTTTTTTTCTCTAACAACACTGTCATAGTGTCATAATTCGTTATATTAACATGCTGTCATCTCCAATAATTTTGTCTCAGGCCCAAAAAATAATAGTCTTGTTTCCTGCTACCAGCCTGAAAAAAATAGGGTAGGTAGGTAGGAAAATTATTTTATTTTTTATTTTATTTTATTTTTTTTCCAATGGTATTTTTTGGATATGAACTAATACAAAACCAAATTAAACATGTCATATAGGTCAATATTATCTTTTAAAATTAATTTTCATGTTTTTTGATGCACAACTCAAGTGGTATTTTATGAAAGTCCATTTTTAAAACATAGGAAATACCACTTTATATATATTTTTTTTTCAGTTTTGGAACATGAAATTCCTGATTTTTTTTCCCAAAAAAACCCCAAAAAAACTTTAGGGTCGGATGCAAAAAAATAGGGTAGGTCGGGTAGCAGGAAACAGGACTATTATTTCTTTTGGCCTCAGTATATATTATACAAAAACAAGGCCTTGTACCACAATGCTCCTGAGTCACTGTAGCCCTACTGTTCTTTAAAATATTCTCCAGAATAGCAAGGCCATTTTAGAATGGTTCTATTGATATTGAAGCATCCCCATGTTTCGTGGATTCAAGTTTGATGAAATTGTAATCCGGTGGAGCTAGGTTCTAGGACCATATTATTGGGTCCAAATTTTTCATGGGAATAAAGAAGGGAGAAAGTCATTTGAGGAAAAGCCAGGCCAAAGTGACTATGAATGATTGGTCTAAATATATAACCTTAATCATGTTTAATTAAAAAAAGTTTAATACTCAGTGTCTAACTAAGGTAGTCCTTATGGTGCAGTGGTTAGAGCCAAGGTGTCACTTTGAGTCGCTAAGCAAGGTTCATAAGGTTATAAAAGTGCTGAGTACAGTTCTAAATTTGTAACCTTCCACCAGCAATTGGTGGTGTCCTTTAAGAGTGAAAAATTATAAAAGGACATAAAGCAAACAAGAAAAGTCTCAATGACACTGTTTTATTTAGGAACATAATGCAGGTTATTCAACTTTTGACAAATACCTTTGTTTTTGTATGAATATATTTTTCCTGTCAAAGACAAGATAATTTTCAGAGCTTTGTAAAAAGTGTGGTTTTCCTAGATGGTCATTCATCACACACAAGCTACCTGAAATCTGTCAGATTGGAGGTCATCTCACACCTCAATCACATCTTCTCAGGCCTTTCCTGCAAGCTCAGAAAAACATTGAATGTATTTATTTACATCTGATCACATGATGTTAAAATTTTGTACAGAGTGGAGTCACTTCCAATCAATAAAAGTATTAGTTTGACAGAGTTGATTGTCCTTTCTGTAGTATATTTTAGATTATTTCATAGCATCGAATGATGTTAAGCTCCAGATTCTACAGAAAAGAAGTCTCCCTACATTTATTTTAATGTTTTTGATTGGGTGTTGTCATGGATGGTTACGTAACACATTCTAGGTTGTTTTTTTTTCCAATTATGGGAAGGGCCTGAAAATGAGTTCTGGTGTTAGGGTGGGACTCTATTGATCATGTTATGGTTATGAGAAGCAAGGATGTTTTTTTCCCCAAGAAATTATGAATTCCTGACCTCTGGGTCAGGGATTCTTATGTTTCTGACTGTTAATTACTAGAAATGATCACTCACAAGGCATTTGTGTTTCTTAAACATGTTATAAATTCATTATATATTGAAACATTAATAGATAATGACAGCATAAAAAAATAACCCCATATATACAGCATCTGTAAGGTACAAGTTATATCAATGTCAGTACATATATACAGCATCTGTAAGGTACTAGTTATATCAATGTCAGTACATATATACAGCATCTGTAAGGTACAAGTTGTATCAATGTCAGTACATATATACAGCATCTGTAAGGTACAAGTTATATCAATGTCAGTACATATATACAGCATCTGTAAGGTACAAGTTATATCAGTGTCAGTACATATATACAGCATCTGTAAGGTATAAGTTATATCAATGTCAGTACATATATACAGCATCTGTAAGGTACAAGTTATATCAATGTCAGTACATATATACAGCATCTGTAAGGTACAAGTTATATCAGTGTCAGTACATATATACAGCATCTGTAAGGTACAAGTTATATCAATGTCAGTACATATATACAGCATCTGTAAGGTACAAGTTGTATCAATGTCAGTACATATATACAGCATCTGTAAGGTACAAGTTGTATCAATGTCAGTGCATATATACAGCATCTGTAAGGTACAAGTTATATCAAATATCAGTACATATATACAGCATCTGTAAGGTACAAGTTATATCAAATATCAGTACATATATACAGCATCTGTAAGGTACAAGTTATATCAATGTCAGTACATATATACAGCATCTGTAAGGTACAAGTTGTATCAATGTCAGTACATATATACAGCATCTGTAAGGTACAAGTTATATCAATGTCAGTGCATATATACAGCATCTGTAAGGTACAAGTTATATCAAATATCAGTACATATATACAGCATCTGTAAGGTACAAGTTATATCAAATATCAGTACATATATACAGCATCTGTAAGGTACAAGTTGTATCAATGTCAGTGCATATATACAGCATCTGTAAGGTACAAGTTATATCAATATCAGTACATATATACAGCATCTGTAAGGTACAAGTTATATCAATGTCAGTACATATATACAGCATCTGTAAGGTACAAGTTATATCAATGTCAGTACATATATACAGCATCTGTAAGGTACTAGTTATATCAATGTCAGTACATATATACAGCATCTGTAAGGTACAAGTTGTATCAATGTCAGTACATATATACAGCATCTGTAAGGTACAAGTTGTATCAATGTCAGTATAAGTGATGAGCTGTTAATATTATAGAGCAAGAATGGCCAGTGAGAAGAGACAGATGATTCATGGAGTAGAGGTGGTGTTTCCCTGTAAGCCGTATCCCTCTCAGTTCAGTATGATGGAAAAAGTAAGTACATGACCTATTATACAGTCAAACTCGCTTATAATGAAATTACTTATAAAGACCTCTCAGTTACAAGGAACTTTTTATGAATCCAGTGGAAGACTTTGTACTATCTATAGCTAGGAAGAATTTTGGTTACAAGGAAGTAGAATACAAAGTTCCTGTAACTTCATTATAACTGAGTTCTTACTGTATATGTATTAGGGAGTCAAGTATTAATCTAACCCAGACAGCTTTGTCCATTACAGTTGTACATTGTCTGAACAACTGGAAACTTCTTACATTATTGTTAAGGAATACTAGACCATTTAAAGGTCCAACCTGACTTTAGGGCTGAAACGATACGCCTCCTCCACAATACAATTCATATCGCAATACTTGTGTCACAATTCAATTTTTTCAATAGGATACATTTCAAAAAAGAAACAAATCATAAAGGTAAAGAAAACATGTATTAAGATTTCAAAAGGCAAATAAAAGGTGGAGATACAATTAAGAACACTGCTTGTGCTTCTGTAGAAGAAAAGAGCACTCTATTTGTGTCAATACTAGCAGTGGCAGTCTGCTCGGAAACTTTATCCGTCGCCATTTTTCTCCCTCGTGTTTGTAAAACTATTAAAATGAGGTCAAACCCAATCTATTTCAAGAAGTAAATGAACCCAATTATAAAAAAACGTATGAAACCGAAAATCGAGAAAGTAAATCGAACATTGAAAAGAGCAATTATATTGAACAATATCGATATTTCTGTAAATTGTTTCAGCCCTACCTGACTTGCTTAAAAGCATCATAGGATATGTTTTTTTTCCCCTTCAAATGATGGACCATTCCAGATGAAGAGATGATTGAAAAATTAGTGAAAGCAGGATGGATCATTAGAAGATCAGCAGAGGCTGAGCTTTGGTTCTGTAATTTTTGGGCCTACATTTTGCCTCATTATCATACCCCCCCCCCCCCCCCCCAAAAAAAAATCCCAGTGAATGAGTAAGCCAATATTCAATATTTAATAAGTCAAAAAAGATGATTTAAGTTTTACAGTCAATTTTTAAAAAATTCTTTGTGAACATCTATAAATGTTTCTTCTCAAAATTGCTGAATGTGTAGTATAATTTACATTTCTCACATGTTGGTATTGCCAACTTCCAGAATGAACTGTGCCTTTTGTCATTTTAATATTTGCCGTATGTTCCATTCCCTACAAGAAGATATGTGAAAGCCCCAATTATGATGATCTAATTAGTTTTGTATAGAACCACTGGTCCTACAAATGAACAAGAGGCCCAAGGGCCTTAACGGTCACCTGAGTATAATACAACAATTTAGAGGATCCATAGAGTATAAAATGAACTGAAAGGTGAAGCTTTGTTGCCCAAAAGCAAGAAAAATAGGGTGATCAGGATCAACAAAATAATTAATCTAGTTTTCATTAACAGTTCATAAATTAGGTTCTAATCTGTTCCCCATTTATCACTATCACCATACAGTATATTAACAAATTATCAGTGATTCTGAACTATTTTAATTCCTTGATGTAATCTCTTACATTGGATCTTTTGGTCTTTGATGAACATTGAATTAGACAAGTTATTTTTGTCTCATTTTTTATTTATCTATTACTTACAAGTCTACCTAATCATTTAAACTATAAAAGTACTTTATGTATTATACAATAAAAAATCTTGCATAAATCTCCTATTCTATTAACCTTTCAAGTACATTATTTACTGTGATTAATTATCAAAAGTAAATGGCAAAGGGGAATAACTCCTCTCAGTTGAATACAAATTAATATGCATTTTTACTACAGATTCACTATATTATCAATAGAGCCCCCCCTCCCCCCCCCCCCCCTCCCCCTAGCACCAGAACCCCTGACCTTGGGGCCATGAAATTCACAATTTTGGTAGAGAACCCTTGCTTATCATAACTATGTATTCAATTTGTTTCAATAATACCCAGGAGTAGAGAAGAAGATTTTCAAAGAAATAATGCACTTTCAATATATGATCTATATAGCGCCAGAACCCTTGACCCTGGGGCCATGATTTTCACAATTTTGGTAGAGTCACCCTTGCTTATCATAACTATGTATTCAATTTGTTTCAATAATACCCAGGAGTAGAGAAGAAGATTTTTCAAAGAAATAATGCACTTTCACTATATGATCTATATAGCCCCGCCCTAACACCAGAATGCCGACCCTGGGGCCATGAATTTCACAATTTTGGTAGAGTCTCCCTTGCTTATCATAACTATGTATTCCATTTGTTTCAATAATACCCAGGAGTAGAGAAGAAGATTTTTCAAAGAAATAATGCACTTTCACTATATGATCTATATAGCCCCGCCCTAGCACCAGAATCCCTGACCCTGGGACAATGAATTTCACTATTTTGGAAAAAGTATCCTTGTGCACCATTACTATGCACTTAGTTTGTTTAAATAAAACCCAGGAGCAGAGAAGAAGATTTTCAAAGAATTAATGCATTTTCACTATATAATCAATAGAGCCCTGCCCTACCACCAGAACCCCTGACCCAGGGGCCATGAAATTCACAATTTTGAAAAAGGCATCAATGCTTATCATAACCATGCACTTAGTTTGTTTATATAATATCCAGGAGCAGAGAAGAAGATTTTCAAAGAATTAATGCATTTTCACTATATAATCAATAGAGCCCTGCCCTACCACCAGAACCCCTGACCCAGGGGCCATGAAATTCACAATTTTGAAAAAGGCATCAATGCTTATCATAACCATGCACTTAGTTTGTTTAAATAATACCCAGGAGCAGAGAAGAAGACTTTCAAAGAATTAATGCATTTTCCCTATGTAATCAATAGAGCCCCGCCCTAACACCAGAACCCCCGACCCTGGGGCCATGAATTTCACAATTTTGGAAAAGGCATCATTGCTTGTCATAACCATGCACTTAGTTTGTTTAAATAATATCCAGGAGAAGAGAAGAAGATTTTCAAAGAAATAATGCACTTTCACTATATGATCTATATAGCCCCACCCTATCACCAGAACCCCTGACCCTGGGGCCATGAATTTCACAATTTAGGTAGAGGGCCCAATGCTTATTACAATCATGTAAACAGTTTGACTGCTTGATGTCTAGGAGTAAAGAAGAAGATTTTTAAAGATTGCATCAATTTTGGTGGTTTTAGCCTCACCCCTGGGGCCCCAGGGGGGCAGGGACCATGAAATTCACAATTTTTGTTCCCCTTCACCCAAAGATGCTATATGCCAAAATTGGTTGAAATTGGTTGAGCGGTTCTAGAGAAGAAGTTGAAAATGTTCAAAAGTTAACGCACGACGGACGACGCAGGACGACAGACAAAAACGGATAGCAATAGGTCACCTGAGTGACTCAGGTGACCTAAAAAATAATTACAGTCTATATAATATACCAGTAATTGAAATTTATATTTCTTAAATTTTGACGATTTGTACTGAAATTAAAAATGTTTAACTGGAAAGGATCTGTGTGTTTAAGTGGTTAATGTTTAAAAATTAATACAGTATCCTCTTCTCAATAAAAACAATGCCATTTCTTTAAATAATATGTAATCATTCTCCATTGTGATTAGTGTCTTATGAAGACCAGTGTAGACTAATTTTAATAATCCAAAGAAAATCTGTCAAAGAATGCTCATACTAGAAAAAAAAGACTTATGACTATTGGGCCCTTTTAGCCTCTTCTTTATTTTGAAATTCTTGTAAATGACAAGATATAATTCAAAATAAACCACATGTCAGATGAAAAGGATACTTGTAGAGCATTTTATGTTAAATCATATTTTCAAGCTTGAGGAAAATATATCATGATATATAGGCATCCAATCCTGGGAGTCTTGTTTTATAAAGAAACAACAAAAAACGGGGAAAAGTCCGGGAAGACTGAATATAAATGAAGAGTCTTATCTAATTCCAATAAATGATGATTGTCGGTTAATGTATTTGTTTATATATTTACAAACAATTATAGCTTAAAGCCCTTTTGTCAGAAATGAAATGAAAAACACATAAACCTTGTTTTGTTTCTTTCAGAATTAGACAAAAGTACATGTACATGTAATGGAAAATATATTGTAGTTTTACATACAACCATTTCAATGACAGAATCAAACTTTTCCTCTGTTCTCTGTTTTATTTTGAACTGTGGTTTTCATTAAATGTTATCAATGCAGGTATAAGGGACTTAATAATTATTTACTTGCAGTATTATTGTGAGACATGATTTTTTTTACAGGTGATAAAAGGAATAGAGAGGGGGGAGAACTGCCTATTGGAGAGCCCTACAGGCAGTGGCAAAAGTTTGGCCCTTTTGTGTTCTGCATTGGCCTGGCAGACTGCAGAGTACAGTTAGTAGAAAAATTTTTAAAGTATATTGTACATGACCTGAAATGGTCCATTCCATTCTTTGTAATAGTTTGCATAGCATTCTTGAATTTTGTTATACATACTTAATAGACTAGCTCCATTGACCATAGATTGCCAAAAGATTTGGCCTCTCCAATGAACAATAACAGTACAAAATTGTAATAATTTGAAATGAAGATAGAGACCTTGTAAGGTTTATAAAACAGGAAAGCTCGATTGCAAATATTAATGACTTAATTTGGACCAGATTTCTATTGGCGGTGATATGAATTTGATGAGTGACTTCTGTTGTATTACGGGCCTAAATCAAGGAAGGATTTGTATTATAAATGTCTATATTTTCTGAATTAGTTGAAATATGTCTATACTATACTTTTAGATAAAAGGGAAAAAGAGCTCTTAAATTCAAGTGACAAAGGTTTGTTAAACAGAAAGTGGCTACATTTCATATATTTTGATTTGTTCAGAGCACACAATTATTGCTTAAACAATATTTAGGAGTAGAAATGTGCTAGCAGTGTACATTTTGTTTACAGATACTAAGACACATTGTACTTGTAACAATGAAATAAAGAAAGAGAGTGAAAATAAATCCACAGAAAACAAGGCCAGAATTAGTGAGTATAGTCTACAGAGAACAAGGTCAGAATTTGTGTGTATAATGTCAGAATAAATCTACAGAGAACAAGGCCAGAATTAGTGAGTATAGTGTCCGAATAAATCTACAGAAAACAAGGTCAGAATTAGTGAGTATAGTGTCCGAATAAATCTACAGAGAAAAAGGTCAGAATTAGTGAGTATAGTGTCCGAATAAATCTACAGAGAACAAGGCCAGTATCAGTGAGTATAGTGTCCGAATAAATCTACAGAGAACAAGGCCAGTATCAGTGAGTATAGTGTCCGAATAAATCTACAGAGAACAAGGCCAGTATCAGTGAGTATAGTGTCCGAATAAATCTACAGAGAACAAGGTCAGAATTAGTGAGTATAGTGTCTGAATAAATCTACAGAGAACAAGGTCAGAATTAGTGAGTATAGTGTCTGAATAAATCTACAGAGAACAAGGCCAGTATCAGTGAGTATAGTGTCCGAATAAATCTACAGAGAACAAGGCCAGTATTAGTGAGTATAGTGTCCGAATAAATCTACAGAGAACAAGGCCAGTATCAGTGAGTATAGTGTCCGAATAAATCTACAGAGAACAAGGCCAGTATCAGTGAGTATAGTGTCCGAATAAATCTACAGAGAACAAGGTCAGAATTAGTGAGTATAGTGTCTGAATAAATCTACAGAGAACAAGGTCAGAATTAGTGAGTATAGTGTCCGAATAAATCTACAGAGAACAAGGTCAGAATTAGTGAGTATAGTGTCTGAATAAATCTACAGAGAACAAGGTCAGAATTAGTGAGTATAGTGTCTGAATAAATCTACAGAGAACAAGGTCAGAATTAGTGAGTATAGTGTCTGAATAAATCTACAGAGAACAAGGTCAGAATTAGTGAGTATAGTGTCTGAATAAATCTACAGAGAACAAGGCCAGTATCAGTGAGTATAGTGTCCGAATAAATCTACAGAGAACAAGGTCAGAATTAGTGAGTATAGTGTCTGAATAAATCTACAGAGAACAAGGTCAGAATTAGTGAGTATAGTGTCCGAATAAATCTACAGAGAACAAAGTTGGAATTAGTGAGTATAGTGTCCGAATAAATCTACAAAGAACAAGGTCAGAATTAGTGAGTATAGTGTCCGAATAAATCTACAGAGAACAAGGTCAGAATTAGTGAGTATAGTGTCCCAATAAATCTACAGAGAACAAGGTCAGTATCAGTGAGTATAGTGTCCCAATAAATCTACAGAGAACAAGGTCAGAATTAGTGAGTATAGTGTCCCAATAAATCTACAGAGAACAAGGTCAGAATTAGTGAGTATAGTGTCCCAATAAATCTACAGAGAACAAGGTCAGAATTAGTGAATATAGTGTCCCAATAAATCTACAAAGAACAAGGTCAGAATTAGTGAGTATAGTGTCTGAATAAATCTACAGAGAACAAGGTCAGAATTAGTGAGTATAGTGTCTGAATAAATCTACAGAGAACAAGGTCAGAATTAGTGAGTATAGTGTCCCAATAAATCTACAGAGAACAAGGTCAGAATTAGTGAGTATAGTGTCTGAATAAATCTACAGAGAACAAGGCCAGTATCAGTGAGTATAGTGTCCCAATAAATCTACAGAGAACAAGGTCAGAATTAGTGAGTATAGTGTCCGAATAAATCTACAGAGAAAAAGGTCAGAATTAGTGAGTATAATGTCCGAATAAATCTACAGAGAACAAGGCCAGTATTAGTGAGTATAGTGTCCCAATAAATCTACAGAGAACAAGGTCAGAATTAGTGAGTATAGTGTCCCAATAAATCTACAGAGAACAAGGTCAGAATTAGTGAGTATAGTGTCCCAATAAATCTACAGAGAACAAGGTCAGAATTAGTGAATATAGTGTCCCAATAAATCTACAAAGAACAAGGTCAGAATTAGTGAGTATAGTGTCTGAATAAATCTACAGAGAACAAGGTCAGAATTAGTGAGTATAGTGTCTGAATAAATCTACAGAGAACAAGGTCAGAATTAGTGAGTATAGTGTCCCAATAAATCTACAGAGAACAAGGTCAGAATTAGTGAGTATAGTGTCTGAATAAATCTACAAAGAACAAGGTCAGAATTTGTGTGTATAATGTCAGAATAAATCTACAGAGAACAAGGCCAGAATTAGTGAGTATAATGTCAGAATAAATCTACAGAGAACAAGGTCAGAATTAGTTAGTATAATGTCAGAATAAATCTACAGAGAACAAGGCCAGAATTAGTGAGTATAGTGTCCGAATAAATCTACAGAGAACAAGGTCAGAATTAGTGAGTATAGTGTCCAAATAAATCTACAGAGAACAAGGTCAGAATTAATGAGTATAGTGTCCGAATAAATCTACAGAGAACAAGGCCAGAATTAATGAGTATAGTGTCAGAATAAATCTACAGAGAACAAGGTCAGAATTTGTGTGTATAGTGTCAGATTAAATCTACAGAGAACAAGGCCAGAATTAATGAATATAGTGTCAGAAAAATATACAGAGAACAAGGCCAGAATTAATGAGTGTGTAGTGTAAAACTTAATTTACAGAGAACATTTTTCTTTCGGTATAGAGAATGTTACAATTAAATGGAGTATGTCATTATGTGTAATAACTTTTGTTTTGTTGGTATAGAGAATGTCCTGAGTGCTATTTCTGCCAGCCCCTCAGGCTTTGGAGATAATGATGAGGAGGATTTCCAGCAGCCAGGTAATTTTAGAACACCTGGAAACCTTAAACAGGTAAAGAACTCAGTCATACTAATTAATTTTAATTATCTGCTGTATATAGCAAATGATTTACCAGGCATCATTTATTGTACCCTGCTTACACTGAAAGGGGGGATATTAATTTGGGTCTGTCCATCTGTCATTCTGTCTGTGTGTAACACTTCCATTCCAAGATGATATCTCTAAAAACCTTTGAGCTTTTGAAATGAAATTTTATATCACAACTCCCTATGGCCTAAAGAAAACCCCTATCGATTTTGAGGTCAAAGGTCAGAAACTCATACATTGCAAATAACAGTTTCCAGATGATAACTTCAGTTTTCTTTGAGCTGTTTAAAAATGAAATTCAATATCACCACTCCCTATGGCATTAAAAAGACCCCTATTGATTTTAAAGTCGAAGGTCAAGGTCATAGATTTTAACATTTTGCAAAAAATGGTTCCAGAATGATATATTTAGTCTTCTCTGATGACTTAAAAAGACCCCTATTTATTTTTAGGTCAAAAGGTCAAATATCAAAATCAGAAATTCGTACAATGCAAAATTAATTACCAGAGAATAATTTTAGTTTTCCTTGAGCTTTTTCTATAAAATTTTCAGTGTTTTCCCTAAGAACCAGCTATCAACCAAATTGACCACTTTAATGTTTTATTTATTTCTCAACATGTGTGATGATTTATTGAAAAAGCTGCCCCTAACAAATTTTTTTTATCCCCATTGTCTGTTCCATGACTTTGGTCCCTAGTGAGGTTAAATCATATAAAAAGTGCATTGTATTTTTAGAAATCTATATTTTTATTCTTGGTGCATTCCTCTGTCCCACATTTCAAGAGTGAAGGTCTCATATATATATTGAGTTGAGTTGATGATGTTATGAAACTCATTTGAGGTATGGCCTCTTGAAAAAAAAAAATTCTGGAAGCTTCATACTGTAGAAGCTCAAAGAACTATAGCACACTTGATACGCATTTTCACCTACTGTAGTAGTGATTTCTCAAATACATTTTTTAACCAGTATTTTGATATCCAATCTTAGTTTGTACATTAGTAAACTCAATTTATACAATAAAAGTATTGGAATATTAATAGTTTCCTTAGACGATTAATATGGAAATTATTTAGTTTGTATGGATTATATAGTAAATATTAAGGTAGCTACCTAAACTATGACGAACTGTTGCCAAAGGCCACCCTTAACCAGAAAAACAACCTCTGAATAATTTTATTTGGGTATGACTGTACCTTATTACATTTAGATAATTTTGGTTAAAGATGGTCTTAGTATTGAAAATGATAAAAATATATATTCAATTTTCCTTCTCCTATTTCTGTAGGATTTACTAATCTGTCTTAAATTTATCATAAGAACATCAACGACTTCGTGGTGCAGTGGTATGATCGCTGGGCTGAAAATCTTATGATTCATAGATCAAGACCAGTATTTTCCATTCATGTGCTTTCAAATTTTTTTTTTTTTTTTTTTTGCGTTTCTTTTCTACTTTTTTAAAAATATTTTATAATGAACACAATTTCGAAATTTCAATACACGTTACACTTTGAAAGTGTCTCGGGAAAAGACAGTTCTAAACTATTTTATTAAATTTTACAAATTTGTACCTCCTTGATTTATTGTTAAAGATTTTCTTAACCTTTTGTCTCAAAATTAGAGTAATGAGCATGTAAATGACTTTTATATGTATTACTTGCACTTAAGAAAATATAATACACGTCCACAAATGATTTTAGATAAGTTGGCTTTGAATTGAACAAGAATGTCTATAAATAGAAATGGGTGATTTCCTTTTAAATTCTCGAGTCGGCTGTGTTGTCGGCAAGGCAGCTATGGCTCTTTTTGTGGGGATAAAATTTCATTTATTTGTCATCTAAAACGGTTTAATGGGCATTTAATTTCTTTGTTTCAAAAGTAACCCTATTCAATATATAGTCATATAAAAATTTTGTGTGGGATTTTATTTCGTTGAGAATTATTAACAATGAAATAAAAGAAATTTAATTCCCAACGAATATTTTTGCTTTTACAGTACTTTTGTGTTATGATTTGGTACTAAATACATTAAGGATATGATGTGAAATTATAGTATAATATTACAGTTGAACTTTGGTATATCAAACACTGATATTTGGAATACCATGGATATGTCAAAGTGATTTGAAAGTCCCAAACGCATATTCCTTAAGTATTTTACCCTGGATATCTCAAATCCTCGGATATTCCAAAGAATTTTCTTGATCCCATCAAGTTTGAGATAATGAGGTTTGACTATAATTAGTAAATAGATGAGTTAATTGTTACATGTATGAATTTCCTTCAAGGATGTACTGTAAGTTTGACAAAGTCATACAAAGGTGAAATTGTACATAGGGATTAATTGTAGACATAAGTGACTGCAGCAAGAATCAGAATTTAAATTGTTTCTAACATCTAACATTGTCTGTCACACTAAAGGTCAATGTAAGTAATTGCCTGCACTCTGATACATATTACCTAACCTGTTAATGGATTTGATGATAAATGTAAATCATCTAAGTTTTAACCTCTCTAGGATCTTCATAGTTTTTATGCCGCGCCATGAATATGGCCGGGGCATATAGTGTTTGTCATGTCCGTCTTCCGTCTCCTTCCGTCACACTTTGCGTTTAGCTCTGTTCAAAGCTCAGTTTCAAAGAAACTATCCAAGGTATTTTTATCAAAATTCATATGCTGATAGATATTGATGAGGGCTATGCAACTGCATCAACATTTTTTGACCTTGACCTTTCCTTTGACATTGACCTCACTTTTCTTAAATTAGTGTTTAGCTTTGTTTTCAAGATACCATTCAAGATAGTGTAATCAAACGTCATATGTTGATACATACTGATGTAAGCTATTCAACTGCATCAACATTTTTTGACCTTGACCTTTCCTTTGACTTGACCTCACTTTTCTTAAACTAGTGTTTAGCTCAGTTTTAAAGATACCATTCAAGATATTGTAATCAAACTTCATATGTTGATACATACTGATGGGAGCTATTCAACTGCATCAACATTTTTTGACCTTGAACTTTCCTTTGACCTTGAACTTACTTTTCTTAAATTAGTTTCAAACTTCATATGCTGATACATACTGGTGTAAGCTATTCAATTGCATCAATATTTTTGGACCTTGACCTTTCCTTTGACCTTGACCTCACTTTTCTCAATTTGTGTTTAACTCAGGTTTAAAGAAACCATTCATAATATTTTTCTTATCAAACTTCATATACTAATACATACTGATGTAACCTTTTCAACTGCATCAACATTTTATGACCTATACCTATCCTTTGACCTTAACTTCAATTATTTTGAATTAGTGTTTAGCTCAGTTTTTAATAAACCATTCAAAATATTTTTATCAAACTTAATATGCTGATATGTATTTGTTAGAACTATTCAACTGCATCAAAAACGGCTTACCTTGAACTTTCCTGTGACCTTGACCTCACTTTTCTTAAATTTGCATTTTGCTTAATTTTAAAGAAACCATTTAAGATATATTTATGTAAGCTTATGCACTAATACATAATTTGGTAAAAATTTATCATCTATATACAACTTTTTAGACTTCAATTTCAATTTTAAAGAAACTATTCAAGATATTCTCATCAAATTTCATACATTAATACAAATTTTCATTTTGCATTACTAATGTAACCTCGGTGGGGCATTCATGTTCTATGGACATATTTCTAGTTTATGTACACAAGAATAAGGATATTTTTATTGGGTAATAATATTCATTGCATTATAAACATATGTATATTGTTTGACAGTTAATGTACACATCTGTAATGGACATTGAAATGATATAACAGGGGAAATAGTTTTTTTGTTATGTTCTTATAATCCAGAGCCCGGTTAGCCAGAACCTGTTATCTTTAACCTTGACCTGTGATTTAGGGCATATGGATGTCAAACAAGGAGTAAAACTACAAGAAATATACAAATCACAAACAAATTATCAGATTGCACATTAGTAAATTTTTGTTTGACATCCGCATGCCCAAATCAAAAGTTTAGGTAAATAATGAAAAAAAAAATCATGAATTGAATTTTAGCTGGGCATTACAACTTATATCCAGACCCTGTTTAATGCTGCATGGTATCCACTTTTGAGAATATTCCATGTTTTTAAATTTTGAGGTGTTGGTTTCCAGTTTTGACTTTTTTTGTAATAAGTAAAAACAGTAATAATGCCAATATGATGTACACATGACCTTGAACTTTGACCTCCTAACATAACCTATAAACATTGTTCAAACTGAATGGAAAATTCTAGTTGATTAATTCAATGTGTATATTTACAGCCAACCAGATTTGCGTGATTATGTCAATCTATTTTTAGAATGCTAGAAGACACCTTCCTATTTCGTATGAGACATCATCCCCAGTTGATGAACCTGCAGCAAATGTGGAATCTCCAGAACCTTGTACATGTTGTGCTGGTGATGGACCAAAAGCTAGAAAGTAAGTTATGAACAGTACGTACTGGTTCTGCTGACAAAGCAGGTAACAACATTGTCTTTGTTTGTAAGGCTCATTATATTAAATGTATTTTAGAGGAATTTGGATTTAATTCTACAAGTGGTAATCCAACTTATACTCATAGTTCCCTTTCTAAGGAAGAAATTCTTCAAAATCATTTGTCAGTTTTGAATATTTTTAATATTCCAAACAACCAAAATGAATTTGAATTACCATATCTATATTGGATTCTGAAACTTCATAAAAATCCTTACAAAGATACATAGTGGGTTCCAGTAAATGTTCAACCAAGCATCTTTCTTTACTCCAAGGGTTTTTTTTAGGGGTCGTAGGGGGCCTGTATTCGGCCCCATTCCCAACGGTAAAAAGTGTGTGTTTTTCCCAATTTCATCGAAGAAAATTCCCAAAAGAGGAAAATAATTATCATTTCAGAAAAAAATCCCGATGTTAGTGAAAAGTAATCGGGATCGGTGTTCAAAAAAATCTAAAACGCATGCTCCAAATAAAGGCCGCCATATTGTCACCATGTCACACAATTCAAAGTATTATAGAAAAAAAAAATAAAACTAGGTGATACCAAGCAAGTTAAACCGATTTACACATACTTTTCCAACCATACTCAAAGTGAAACTCAAACCACGACTTCTGATGCCGAATGTCAGAGTAGCCAAAGCAGACTTGTCGAAACCCGTCGGTCCTGTCGGCAAGGCCGGTAAAAAATTGTCTGGACTAATATCTTTTAAGAAAACGTCGGTCCAAATGACCGTTTGAAAAAATCGAGCGTGACGCAAATTTAAAAAAAGATCGGGATCCGTAACTGAAGGTCACAAACGGTAGAGTTAAGTAATAGACTCTTCCGTCACAAACACAGACGAGATGGCCGTGTGCGCGGCGTAGTCAGACGAGATGGCCGTGTGCGCGGCGTAGTGACGATGGTCAATTTAAATTGTTACAGGAAAGACATAAAATATGTTATTTATGTCTCTTATCAAAGACTCTCTATCCTAAGAAAAGAAAATTGTGAGATTGAAGGCTGTTGAAAAATATTAAAGGGCATTTTGGTGCTGTTATTTATTTTCCTTTCTCAGCGTCAAAATAAGATCTGGTCTGACAAAACTTCGTCCGGTCCGACAGAACATTTGACTCTGTCAGACTAAATGTCTGACAGTGATTTCAAAATTTCAACAAGTCTGCCAAAGTGAAACTCAACCCACCACTTCCGATGCTGATTGTCGGCCTCCACCGAACAATAACAGTAGTGAGTCTGAGGGTAGACAGACATCTCGGCCCAACGACACCTCGGCCCGTCACGCTTGACATCTCGGCCCTAACAGGTCGGCCCAAGATTGTTGACACGTCGGCCCATATAAAAGACACCTCGGCCCAAGCAAAATTTTACGATGGAAAAAAAAATTAACAGATTAACCCAGCGTTTGAATTGATATCATTGGTGTTATTATTCTTTCTGACAATTAAATGATTTTTTAAAAATAAAAAATGGGGGTCTTTGATAGATATAATCGTTTTATTTTTCCAACTTAGTTAGATCAGGCTTTCATTTACATCTTTTTCTTGTGGAAAATGTTTTTCTTAAGAAATTATTCAATTACTGTCTCCCAATTAAGTCTGCTCTTAATTACCGTAACCCCTGTTGTCACCAATATAACAAGCACTTGACCCCCCAAAGGATGCGCTGTGGTATTTTGTTTGTTTATCAATTAGCACTTAATTAATAGCATTAAATCGTCAATGTGCTCGTGGAAGATTTTTTTTTTAATCTTGATAGTTTATTCATATACTTTTTTCAATCAACATTTTAATTCAAGTCCCAAAATTGGAAATATATACATGTACATGTATTTCATAGTTAAATTTTGCTTGGGCCGAGGTGTCTTATGCATGGGCCAACCAGTCTTAAATCTTGGGCCGACCCGTCTGAGCCGAGATGTCATTGGGCCGAAATGTCAATGGGCCGAGGTGTCGTTGGGCCGAGGTGTCTGACATTCAGTCTGAGAATGATTCATGTACATGTAAAACACGTTAATAAATGCCTTGCAATTGATGAAGTTATTCTTATTTAACATTATTTAGAAAAATGTTAAGTATGACATTTTTCCCAATTTCAACCAAATGTCGCTAATTTTTCCCAAATGGAAAGGCCCAGGCCCTTATTTTTAAGACCTAAAAAAAACCCTGACTCCTCACTAGGATATTAACAGTGGTGAAGGAGAAACTTCAAGAGTAATGTGCAACAATATATTCGAGAAGAGGTGTAAATAAGATGTGGATGCTTAAAAATTCCAAGGAACTTTTGGAAAATTTGAAATCACAAGAATTTACCAAAATCAACAGCTTAAAAACTTACGACTTTTCAACTTTATACACAACCATGCCCCATCATAAATTAAAGTCCAGGCTTTTTGATATCATTGACAGCTGCTTTTTCAATAAAAATGGAACTCGTAAATTTACTTACCTTTTTTTTTTGTCATTGGTCATTTACAAAATTATTTTGTTAAAAAGCATTCTGATTGTACCCACAAGTACTCTGAAGTTGACATTAAAAAGATGATTGAGTTTCTATGTGGTTTCTGGAGACCAGGTCTTCCAACAATCTATTGGAATTTCCATGGGTACCAATTGCGCCCCGTTATTAGGAGACCTTTTTTTGTATTCATATGAAGCAGAATTTGTCCAAAATCTTACACATGAAAAGAAGAAAACACTTGCTGTGGCCTTCAACTCGACATTTAGATATATCGACGACGTATTGTCAATTAACAATGGTTATTTCCATTCTGATGTCGACAGGATATATCTCTATGAGCTTGAGATAAAAGATACCACAGAGTCTGACACATCTGTTTCATATTTGGATATTTTACTTGAAAAAGACGTTAATGTTAATCTAACAACCAAGCTTTATGATAAACGTGATGACTTTAACTTTTCAATCATCAACTTCCCTTACTTATGAAGCAATATACCTTCATCACCTGCATATGGGGTTTATATCTCTCAGTTAATTCAATACGCAAGAGCATGCTCTACGTATGTATAATTTCTAAAACGAGGTAAATTATTGACAAACAAGTTGATGAAACAAGAGTATCAGCTGTCTCGTTTAAAGTCATCATTTCGTAAGTTCTATGGTCGATACAATGACCTTGTCAGCAAATACAATTTATCATTGAGTCAAATGCTGACTGACGTTTTTCACACTAATTGTTAGGCCATTATTTACACACTGAATTGTCGACAGATTTTTCCGTTATTACCCGATCATGACAAGGAGCACACGGCGGGTGTGACTGGTCGGCAGGGGATGCTCACTCCTCCATGGCACCTGATCCCACCTCTGATGTTTGGAGGTCCATGTTTGCTCTGCTCCTATTTTGTATTGTTTAATGGACTTTTGAGCTTGAATACTGTTCATTATCTCCATATATTTAATTACACAAACCCACATCCAGATAGAAATTGACAGAATCAAAGTTGGCTGGATAGGCAACAATAAAAGATTGTGTGTTTCTGATTGTTTGTTTATGTGTACTGTCAGTATATTTAGAGGCAGATTTGATAAATTGGTGGGAAAAGGTTACTTTGTAATTCTGACTCATTTAATAGTACCAGGAAAGAAGTGTTAAACTTCACTACAAGTATGATAATTTTATTCTCAAGTATTCTTTGGAGGCCACATTTTGGATTTTTTAGGAAGTTTACAGGAGAATTATATTAGAAAAACAGTAGATAAATATAAGAAATATGACATGCACCAAGGATTACCTCATGGCTTTTAAATGGGGGGGGGGCAGTGCAAGAGGGAAGGAAAGAGCACTTGTTTTCTATTTATAACATCAGCATCCTACCTTTACCCCACCCAGTGCTGTTGTTTTAATTGTTTGGTAATTACAAAAACTGACTATTACAAGGTACATGTAGAGTCAAATATGTTTAACCTTTCAAGTAACTCATTTTGTAGGTCACATGTTGAAGTCAGGGTTATAAGTTAATTTTAAAAAAATAGATTATATTTTCTTGTAAATGAGTAATAAAGCAAACGAGGCATGTTCATATATATATATTTACTTACCTCTCTCTAATGAATTGTGACATTTAATCTGAAGTGTCATCATCAGCCTCAGGAATGACATTATATACGTATCATTTGTCTCCTGAATAATTCAGTCATTATTAAGATATTATTTTCTTTTACCTGCGTAAATGGTTGTTAAAATGTCTGGCTTTACATTCCCCTTTTCTCAGAAATTTTGTATAACAGTATATCACTCACACATTACCCAGTGAAGGCATTAGACAATGAGAAGTCATTACATGTAAATTTACACATGATTTGAATTAATTTGATCATGATAAACTAGGTAGACAAGACCACCCAACATGTGGGATTACTTCATTTGTAAACAATGTGACACAGAGGTTGAAACATTGGTGATGGTTTTAGCAATAAATGTGCGATGATAAATAAGGGTTCACACCTCGCTTGTCAGCTAACAGAGGGTTTGTCTACTCTGAGGTGCCGGGTCGCGTTTGATTGATTGGGCCACCAACGTGTGATTTCTGTAAGGTCTATACTAAGTATCCATAGTCTTCCCCAGAGGCTTCATGGACTGTCGGCACCTTGCTGACGTCCTGTTACATTATTCATGAACCTCCCAAGCTTGTGTCTCTTATAGATAGACCTGCCACTCATCCTAATCAGGTTTTTAGCAAACTCTGATCAGAAAATTGCTGTCAAAATATTGGTATGGATTTTATCTTTCAGTGGTTTCTTTTTTAAAATAATGACAATTTTGATGCCAGTAAAAAAGGAAAAAATTCATATGTCTGTTTTTAATTTTTTTATATGTTCAAGAATTGATTGTAGATAATTATCCTGGTACAATTTTTTCTTTATATTTTTGTTTCGTTAATAAATACATATAAGTTTTCCCCCCAACAATGGATTGTTTAAAATCCATCTGTGATTTCTTGGTCAGTACTATGTAGGCCTCACAGTTTGTGGTTAATTAGAATGATAAAACTTCTAGTGATGTGATTTAGAACAACAAATAATTTTATTAAGGCAAAGTAATGGACAAAAGTGAAATAGAACTAAAGAAAAAAAAGCTCGAACTGACTAGATGATTTGATTTGGGGTCTGTAATCTCCGAAATCAGTGTTTGGCCAACCAAATAATCACAGATTGCCAGATATAGAGAAATGAAATTGACAACATTATAGGTTTCAAATCCAATTGCTTTTTGCACAAGGGAAAACAAAATTGGCTAGATGGGGAAATAGAATTAGGCCATTTGGGGAGTTTAGCGTGGTCATTTTCACCAATTGTGTAAGAATCTTTGAAGATGTTCTTGTCAGGAAATGGACGATGGATGTTTAGTGAGGCTTGTTACAGCAATAGTCCGATAAATTGCAGCAATACGGCTTTCATCCCAGCATAAAGGAAATCAGTATGACATTACTTAATTAAGTTGGTGACTTTGAATGGTGTTTTTTTCCTCTGAATAGTTTTGATGTATGCTGATGCAGTATTTAACTTGATCAGCACTGTCAGATTTACAGATAATGAGCGAATAGTCCAAGTAAGAGATATTGACGGGCCAATGAAACTGACATCTTCATTTTCCCATCTGATTAAGTTTATGCGTGGATCAGGATTGCTTTGTAGATAAAATACATTTAAAATTGACAATGTGTCTGATTCTAAATGTTATATAATGTCTTGTATGTGGTTCTGTGTTACCAAACATTAGATTACTAGTAACACATAAAACTCCATTTCTTCTTTTCTTTGCAATTTAAGTATCATTTAAAATACTCTGCAAATTGATATTTACATAAAATCAATTTGATTGATGAGGGGAAATAGTTACAACAAACTGCACAAATTGAAATTTAAAGAAATCGCTTTACTTTGAGAAAATTGAAGTCATTAGCTGGAATATTTGAATTTACTGTGTACTTATCTAGAGAGGAGAAGGTCAACATAGCAGTGAAAAAATTAATTTGATTTGTCTAACTGATTTCATATATACATAAGATTATGAAAGACAAGACTAGGAGAAAGAATAATTTACATGTATAAGGCAGAATTAAAAATAATAAATACATTGGGATTCTAACTTAGGGCAGATTTTGAACACACCCCCCCCCCCCACCCCAAAAAACAAGGAAAGAGGGATTAGGTGCATTATGCTAGTTACTGCTACATTGAACTATGTGTATTTATAATTTATATGTAGAAAAGCAAAGCATGCTCTGTCAAATATATTAAGAAACTGTATTTAAGCATTCTTAGCTACCCTAATTATGGGTTATTTACACTAAGTGTGAAGTATGTATACTGTGGAATCATCATTGTTTGTGGTGGTCAATGTTTATGGGTAACCAAAATTTTAGTGGTTTGTGGGGACGAAATTTTGTGGGTAATTTGCATATTTTATTAAGATAAATAATTGTACTGTGCTTAATGTATGTGTGTTTCAATGTTTGTGGGGATGTATTAATTCGTGGGTAAGGGTTACTAGCGAAAGCCACGAACATTGATCCCCCACGAACAATAATGATTTAACAGTACCTGACAGAAAAACTATGTGAGGATGTAAATTTATGTAACTATGCATTTTCGCCCCTTGGTGGGGGTGGGGGGAGGGGCATGAGGGGATACAAATTGGATATTTGGCTAGCGAGGATGGTAAATATGTGGTCATGCAATTTATATCATGTATTTAAAAGAGAAAAATTGCAATTTATACCTTATTATTGATAATACATGTACATACATTGTATATATGGCCATCTTTGGAAAAAAAAGTTAGCGTTCCCTCTCCCGACTCAGGGAAAAATAAAAAATTGGGTAGGAGGTCAAGGGAAATTTTTTTTTCAGAAATTTTCAACATTCATTCAAAATTCAATAAATGAAATTAGAATACCCTGGTAGTTGTTGACAGGATGAGCAATTTCAGTATTTTAATTAAAAGAATTGTTTTCTGGAGGTTGAAAAAAAGTACTGGGCCAGGTCATATTAAATTCGTCAGGAAAGGGCAACCAGACATTTTTTTAAAGAAGGCCAAATTGTCTTTTTCCAGAGTCCCTAAGATTTACTTTGGTACAAGGACACATAAACAGATTGCACAGATTATCAGAGAGTTGAAGAAGACAGCTTACAGAGAGGTCAAGTAAGTAATACAAGAGAACAAAAATGAAGATTTCTCAAAAGAAAAGCAAAGTTTATAAATTGTCCAATGGGCACATGAGCATCTTCATGTACTGTAGATTCATATTTGTTTAAATCATGTTTGTTAAAGTCATGATTAACCCAAAATTGAGTTTCAAAGGTTTACGTAGTTACATGTAAGTGATGTTAAAGTGAAAATCATCATCAGAAATAGGTTACAGTTTGTCAGTTAATATTCAGTCATCCTTTTTGTAGTATTGTAGATCTCATTTATTCAGACCAGTATCTTGTCACAGCAGATGCCGGAAATTTATTAAAGATTATATAGTAGATATCTTTTCTTTGTTTATTCATTCATTTTTTAAGAAAACAGCAAATTTAACATGTAAAAAATTAATTTATATAATCACAGACCTCAAAGCCATTAAATGGACAAATATAGAACAATTCAGTTTGGAGCAACGTGATTCAGTTGAGCACATTGTTGCTTACCATCCATTTGTATCAGTTATTAACTGCTGGCAGTTTAAATACCGTTTTTGATCTTAATTCTCTCTGATGTAGAATGACCATTTTGGCAGCCCGAGAACACACATGTATCCACCCAGCTGTCAGTCAAATGAGGGGCAAGAACGAGGGGTGTAAGGAATTACTAGATGTATGTGTTTTACTTTATACAACCTTACAATCACTTCAGATTTTATAACAGTTTATTTATATGATAATTATGATAGTGAAAATTAACAAATATGATGCATAATCAGTAGACTGGTCAAAAGTCCTCAAACTTATAGCAGCAAAAATGGATTTTCTTGTATAACATTGTACAAATATTCCTGTGCGAAATTAAAAATTTATACAGTACTTAGCAGTATCATTGCAAAAAGAAATGAATGAGATAATTTTACAAAAATTAATACATGTACCATCCATACTCAATTTCAGGGTCCTGGATGTAAATTTAATGACCGTTTGAAGAGGATCCCAGCAACGCAGGACTTTGTGAAGAAGCATGGCCTAACTGAGGCATGGGATATTGAGGATTTTGTGGGACTTTCTAAAACTCTCAAGGTATATGTTCCTAACATTTCACAAAATAATGTCTCAACATTACAGATCACAATATACGAGGGGTGATCAAAAAGTTCGCGAACTAATTGAATTACTTCCATAAAAGAAATGAAATAAGTTTTCAGTGTTCATTATTTTTTAACATAGTCCTCTCCTATTTAAATGCACATCTGCCACTGTTCTGCCCATGCGCAAATCACGTGATACAGGCGGTCACGTGACATGATCCGTAGTGTTTTGTTCACAGAAGCAAAAGATTTTACCAAGTCTTATATTTCTTACCATGTAAATTATTTTTTTATAACAAGAACAGCCCCTTTGTCAGAAATGGCCAAAATGTAGGCAGTAGGATGGGTGGATAAAGATATCCTTTCCCAGAATGAGCATGATGACCATCACAACCCAAGTCCTCTGTCTTGGGAGCATTGTTTATCCAATGTGGATAAAGTATGGACGCCTTCTTTTTATCATATCTGATATGTTTAAAGTCTAAAGTAAACAATATTTTAGGGATTTAATAAATATATTATTGTTAAGATATTCAACTATTTTTCTAACTGTAACTTGGCGATCTTTCGTAACAAATTGCTCAAATAAGGACACATCTCTTCCCCAGCTTGCTTTCACTGGGCAACAGAACAAACATCATTTTTAACCATCTCCCTTCCTTCACTAAAACAATCAATCCAATTAATGATTGAACTTCTGGCAAGTCTTTTGTCTTCATAAACCTTGTTCAAATTATTATATGCTACTGCAAAAGAATTTCCAAGATACACATTAAACTTTACAGCCATTCGTTGCTCGAGTAAGACTGAGTCAATCAATTTTTGTCACAAGTCACAGACATATCACATTATTTTCACATTGTGAGGTCACAAACATGGTGAAAAACATTGCATAACATTTGCTATTTATAGAACGTGTATGACTATATATGTGCCAAATTTTTATTCTGATCTGAATTGTGGTTTTGTAAATATAGAGATAGTTCGCAAACTTTTTAATCACCCCTTGTAATGTGTAGAATATAATTGATGTTAAGTTTTATTCCTAGGTGTGCCCATACTTTGCCACGAGAGGATTGAGAAGTGGTGCAGACATTGTGTTTTGTCCGTACAATTATTTGATTGACCCAGTCATTAGAGATACGGTAACACAGTCTATCATTTCTCATTTAGAGCGGCATGGACACACTTGCATTGCTCTTTTTTTCAATGTTGAATTTCTATTTTAGTTTGAAAAATAGCTTCATGCAGTTTAATGATTTGACCTTACATGAAAATTCTTAATTGTGAATCGCAAATTTAAAACCAATCCCTGAAAATAATAAAATAGGTTTACTATTTCATATACCTTTAAATTTTCATGACCATAAATATCCAGAAACTGGAGTCGCTCGTGCATCTCTTGGAAATTTCTCACATATAAAAGTTAGTAAATAGTAATTAGTCCTAGAGAAGTATCAGGTGTTATGTTTATATGCTCTTGAGTATTTGGGAGCTTTCTCTTTGTTAGATGGAGATACAGCTCAAAGGTCAAGTTGTCATACTGGACGAGGCACACAATATGGAGGATACGTCCCGGGAAGCAGCCGGGGAGAAAATCGGAGACGATGTCCTGGAAAAGGCAATCAATGAACTGGATGAACTCAGTAAGAATCCATCTTGAATTTGGATATAGATGAAGTGTAAAAATGTATAATTTATTTATGTCTATAGAGATTAAGGTACAGAGAATCCAGTTTTGATACACTCCTATTTTTCTTCACAGTTAAGTTTGAGATCCTGACTGCAGAACATCTTAGAGTGAGGCAACTGGTAAGTAAAAGAGACAGTGATGTTATGGCCATACAAATTACCTCATGTTCATGTTGTACGAAATGTTTGTCAAATTAATATACAAGTAATGTATTAATGGTATTACATTTTCATAATGATATAATAGTTGACAGGGTTCTCACTAGGATTTTGCTAACTTGAGTCCCAGGACTCAAGATTTCTGAGAAGGTTGTGTCCCAGCTAAATTTGATGCGTCCCCCAAAAAAATTATGTTGAGTCCCAACTGAATTGTTTCAGTATCCTTCCATCCAAACTTAAAAAAAATCTTTATTATTTTAACAGTTTGTTTACGCAATATCAACATATTCAAATATGTAAACTGGTAATGCATCCAAGCCATATTCTGAAATACATACGTAATCATTTGCCATAAAAATAAACTTGGTGTTTATAAAGTTAAAATTAACTGTTGCATAGTCAATTAGTACCCTATGGTTGACTGTGTAGAATCACAGGTGTCATGTGCAGTGAGGTGTAAGTAATCCTGTTGGTCGTCTGCACTGGGTGAAATTCATGAGATAATCAAGCCGCATTGTGTATACAAGCAGTTATTATGGTTTCTAGATAAAATTCAAGATTCAAAAGTGTTTTTTTTAAAAAAAAGCTTCAGTGTGTTTACAGCTATAGGAGTTTGGTATGCGACACTATTATGAATAAACATGAAATATCTTATAATCAATCCCTGTTTAAAAAAATAGAAATAGGTACAAGAAAAGTTGTTTCTTAAACTTTATGATAGTTACAGGAAGGTTTCGAATAAATATGTCTTTGACAAATCCTAACATCTAGAATCTCCGGTTTTCAAAAGCACCCAAATTTTCTCACTGACGAAGATGCGTCCACTCATGAGTCCGCGGACGCATTGTTTTTAAGAACCTTGCGTCCCAAATAATTTTGCTGCGTGTAGGACGCAGATTCTTGCGTAAATGAGAACCCTGAGTTGAACATGATGTTATGGATAAATACCTCTTCATTATGATGTATGAATATTCATTGTCAATGTTTTTAGTGTGCAGGACTTCTTGGATTCATCAGAGACAACCAGGACAATTTACAAAATATGGATTTTGACCACGAATACAAGTGCTGGTCAAGTTACGATATCATTGTAAGACTGGAGAAAATTGGGGCAGGGCCTAAACAGTTTCAAGAGATGCAGGTACCTGTTTAAATTTCCCAAATCAAATTCAAATAACTGTTTCATTTTATTAGTGATGTTGAATATTACACAGTTTATTTAAATTGAAAAAATAACAGTACTGTAGTTTTAAAAGAACTTGAAATGATCCACCCCAATCGTCAAGAGGTGTCATATGACAAGACAAATCACATGGCAACTCATCTGAAGCAAATACTTGAAAGAGTTCAAATAATACATGTACAATATGTATACAGATGTTCTTATCATGATGTGTACATATATCACTAATACATCTATATTTCTGTTCAATTCACGACTGCTTTGGTCAAGATAAGGTCACAATAACTAGTCTTAAATTTTACCGACAAAAATCTTGAAACATGCAACAATATTATAGTGTTAAACCAGTTCTGTTGTTGTACAATGAAAAACAATGCTATAGCCTTAACATACTGATATGTAAAATACATTTTCGTTTATTTACATTCAATGTAATTTTCTTTCTGAAATCCATTAGAAATCTACGACGTTCAAATCTCTTTAACACCTTGTCACCGTGTGTTAGAATACACAGTAGGAACTATATGCATTTTCAATACTCTAGGAACATAAAAATGTATATTGTTTTGCCTCTATTTAATAGCAAAACAATTACACTGTTATATTAATGAAAAATTACAACTGTGTGTTTAAAATTAATTTGTCATTTTTTTCCTTCGCAATGTTCTTTTGCGTTATTTAACTTTCCACGTCACAAACGGCTCTTATGTTTATTAAGCACACCAGTTATTAAAGGCGCTAAGTTCATATGAAAGATTAACGAAATAAACAATTATGAAGACACAAAAATTAGAGAATGTAAATATAAGCATTGAATTCTTATTTTTGGATGTCGTCGGTCCTATAGGACACCTGACCGTGCCAACAAATTATCATACCGCGGTATTCAATTTTTCAATTATAGGACCGACGACATCCAAATATAAGAATTCAATTCAATTCTCCTTTCAGAAACACCTGAGTAAGGTATTTGAGGAAGCTTTAGATAAAGAGACTGTAGTGAAGGACATGTCTGGTCGAGTGATTAAGCTCAGTAGTGCCACCTTACAGACTCTGGAACACATCATAAAGGTGTTCTCTTACCTGTACAAGAATGACCTCCAGTTTGTGACAGACTACAAAATGGCAGTGGTCAAGACCACAGTCTACACTAGGAATATTAACACGGTAGGGATATTTAATGTCAGCTGTTTACTGATCGTTTACTGGAAATCAACTTTACTTCACATGCAACTACCTCTAGTCGTAATTAGTCAGTACATGAAGCATTGCAGGTACAGTTGTATTTTACGTGACACTAATTTTATGTACCCTCTGTACAGTAAGTAAAAAGTGTACTTTCTTTTTTTTATTCATGAGAAGTTTATTTTCAGTTGAGTTAATCTCAGGAAATTACAGTACTCACAGATAAAATATGATGTATAGTATCTTTCATGATGGCAGAGAAATGGGAAAGTTTGTCACCATTAACAAGTATACTACATGTATATTTGTATCTTAAGAAAAAAGAACATAAACATAGAAATCCCATATAAAAGTCACATGTTTAAATGGTAAATCAAATGTTTAGATGGTAAATCACATGTTCAGGTGGTAAATCACATGTTCAGGTGGTAAATCACATGTTCAGGTGGTAAATTCCAAGAGAAATAGCTGTAAAAATTTGTTTCAGCTAGGTTTCTCTTGACAAGCTGGTGCAGTGTAGACTGATCTTATGCTCTGTATTTCGAGATTGTCATAGATTTACTTTACTGTACTTTCTACTTGTACTTAAAATGACATTTTAGTAATTTAGTTGTATAATAAAGTAAGCTGCTCGAACAGCTTCTAGTCATTATACCTTCCCCTGTACTGTAGTTGTTGATTGGTGTATTGTAGGACGATATGTGGTTGAATTCAAAGAGGAGAAGGGGAGGTAAGAGACTGATTCAGAAAAATTCTGTTATCACTACTGACCTACATAGACATAGTAACATACCTTGTACTGATTTAAACTATTTATTATTGAGTTCTTGATCAATTAAAAAAAATACATCTAATTAACAGGTGTACCTAATCACCCTACCACTCAATTGTCCTTGAACTTCTGGTGCATGAATCCTGCAGTGGTAAGGAATGCTCTGGCTGTCTAGTTTTAAACAGTTTCTATAATAATGCAAAAGAACCTTATCATTCTGTTTACTGTAATTCTTACATTCACTTTATAAGAGAATTCAAACTTAACTCACATTTTTAAATGGATCACTCGGAGTTCCTTTAAGGTTGATTACCAGTAAATATATATAAACATGTAAAACAATCCATTTTGTGTTCTTTAGGCCTTTTCTGACCTGTCAATGTGTAGAAGTGTAGTCCTAACAAGCGGGACTCTATCACCCATAAACTCATTTGAGTCTGAGCTAGGAGTTCCCTTTCCTATCAAACTGGAGGCAAACCATGTGATTGAAGATAAACAGGTGTGGGTGGGGGCTGTGGGTCAGGGGCCCAGGGGAGGGACACTTGAGGCTGTGTACAGATGTGTAGAAACCCTCCAGTTTCAGGATGAATTGGGAGAACTTGTCCTCAGAGTGTGTCAGGTGAGAATCTTTAGGTGCCTTTTAGTCTGTAAGATTTAATGAATCTTTCAATCAGAATTTCAAAACTCGATGATGTAGATTATACAAGCTACATGTACATGAATGTCATGTTTAATGTTTCAGCAAGTGCCACATGGTGTCCTTTGTTTTGTTCCATCTTACAGTACACTTGGTAAACTGAAGACAAGGTGGGAGGTAAGTGCCTTACAGAAACTTTACTGTGAATTCAGTGTGGTTCACTGGGGAAGGGGGTTGTATTTAATGGGATACCCATTGCTCACATATTTATAACCTTCTTGAAAAATTAATTTCAGAATTATTTACATGTATTTAAAGATTTTTTTACACATACATTTGTGCAAACAGAATTCCCCACAAACCAATTCCACATTAGATTCACATGTTTTAGGTATTTTTCATTAAAAAAATTGTTGATGACGATGATGGAAAGTTGGTGTAAAACTCTGATACTGATATGTGTAAAAATAGAATGTTTTTCCTTCATCATGTTTTATATGTATGTTTACATGTAACTTGCAGATCACAGGATTGTGGGAGCGGATCAAGGAATACAAGGATGTGATGGTGGAACCCCGGGCCTCTGACAGGGTAGATTTTGAGGATCTGATGAGGCAGTACTATGATTCAATACACATGTCACAGGATCAGGGTATGACATTTCCATTTTATCAGGCTTGTCTGTAGTAAACACACATTGATGTTTTAATCTTCATTTATTACAGAAAATCTCAGCATATATTACTTTATTAAACAATAAAACATTTATACCATTGGCATTTCAGTCAAGAAAATAATTTGATACATGTATATATCAAAAAGTTTTATTGTTGCTTTTACAAGTGTAAAGAATATAGCTGGTTGATAAACTTGCAAATCTTCTTGGCAGAAGACCTCCATTTATTCCCCAACCCCCCAAAAGAAAAGCATCATTACATTTGTCAGTAACAGATATGTTTGTTCTCTTCAGCAGATGGCAGGAAGACAGGTGCTCTGTTTGTGGCTGTATTCCGGGGTAAAGTCAGCGAGGGTATGGATTTTGCTGACAACTATGCCAGAGCCGTCATCACTGTGAGATACTTGATATTTACCTATTAGTTGATATGAAGAAAGTTTACCTTATATACTCACTTATAGTTGGAGTGTTAATTGAGAGCATGTCTTGTAGAATTGACCTTTGACCTTCATATCATATGTCAGCTTTATATCATTTTGCATGACATGATAACTTACAGAATTGACAACTTTTAGAACTAGATTTAAAATTGTTTTATTTCCAAATTTCCAAATAGGCAAATGTATACATGTATGGAAAGGGATTCAATGTTTGATAATACTAGTGTATATGGGATGGACTTCAGACTATATGTACAAGTATGATAACACTTACATTGTACATGAAAAAACTTTTTCAGATTTTAGCAAGGATTAATTAGCATTTTGTTTCATGTATTCTCAATTCTTCATATATTATAGGTTGGTATTCCATATCCTAATGCTAAAGATGTTCAGGTAAATATTTTTTTCTATGATGTATTCATGTTAAAATCATGAAACAAACGAGTATAATAAAAGATTTTGCTTTTCGTTTTTTTTTTCTAAGTTGCCTAATTTTTTTTCTTGAAAGGTGAAATTCAAACAGGAGTTTAACAATATCTATCGTTTGTCGAGAGGACTGCTGTCAGGGTCAGAGTGGTACGATATTCAAGCCTTCCGAGCTCTGAACCAGGCACTGGGGCGATGCATTAGACACAGGTATGTTATAGGCACTATTACCAGATTGGTACAAAACTTGAGGCATTATTCATGTCTGGGGCAAGGCATGAGATGGGTAAATTATAGACAATAAAATGATAGGATACCTAAGCCTTCGGAGTCCTGAACCAGTCCCCAGAACTGTGTCAGATAATGAAGTTGTTAAGTTGTAAATGGTAAAATGGTTCAACTTTCACAATCCTTAACCAGGATTAGACACAGCACATCAGATGGATTAGTCATTGTAACTTGGTAGTGTGACATACTGTAAATATACTTATTTTAGCAGTAATCATGTTTTAGTGCCTTTCACATTATTTCTTATCTGCTAATTCAACTACACACTAACATATAATGAAAACAAATTCATATAGAATGATTGCACCAAATGTGCTTATTTATGATTACGCTAATTAGTTGATAAGAAAGATTGAGATAAATTTTGAGTGTTTTAATTTATGTATGTTTATAGTTTCAGTATTTTGGTGTTCAGGAATTTATTGATATAGGATCTATACATGAAAGTCTACCAACCTTGCTGCTCAGTATCTTTAGCTTCAATACATGTATTTGACATTGAAAATAGAAATAAAATGAAAGGAAAATAAAAAAAAAAGATTAACATTGCATTATTTTAGTTAGCCAATTTATGCTGAAAATTTATTTCAGGAAAGACTGGGGAGCTATCATCCTTGTGGATAACAGATTTGTCAAGAATGTACATAAAGTTCAAGGTAAATCTTAGCTACCATTAAATATACTTTGAATAGTAATATATCTACAGTGTAAGCTTCATGAATAGTAATATATCTATAGTATAAGCTTCAGCAGAGTTTTTGAAAACCATTGGTCCTGTCGGGAAGGCCGGTAAAAAATTGTCTTGGCAGATAACTGAAGTCTACAAAATGCAATTATAAATTATTATACCCCCGCTCCAAAGGAGAGGAGGTTATACTGTTTTACCCTTGTGTGTCTGTCTGTCTGTCCTTTAGTATGTCTGTCTGTCCGTAACAAATTTTGGTTGCAGTTTTCTCAGCAACTACTCATCGCAAATGCTTGAAATTTTAGCACACCCTTTGTTTAGACATGCCATATGGTGAGATTCATTTTTTTTACAATTCCAGTGTCAACTTCCTGTTTATCGGTGCATCTGTCTGTACCATACATAACAAATTTTGTTCGCAGTTTTCTCAGCAACTACTCATCGCAGATGCTTGAAATTTTAGCACACTCTTTGTTAAGGCGTGCCATATGGTGGGAATCATTTTTGTATGAATCTGATGTCAACTTCCTGTTTATCCGTGCATCTGTCCATACCATACATAACAAATTTGGGTGGCAGTTTTCTCAGAAACTATCCAAAGCAGATGCTTGAAATTTTAACACACTCTTTGTTTAGGCATGCTATATGTTGGGATTCATTTTTATACAAATCTGATGTCATTTCCTGATTATCACTGTGTCTGTCCATAACTTAACTTGTGTATTCATATCAGAGCACTGGCTCACAGACTTCTTGTTTCAGGATGTCTTGGGTTTTGAAGCCATTGTTGATCTGTATTAACCGATGTTTAGGTTTGTCTTAGTGAAGCCATTGTTGATCTGTATTAACTGATGTTTAGGTTTGTCTAAGCGAAGCCATTGTTGATCTGTATTGACTGATGTTTAGGTTTGTCTAAGTGAAGCCATTGTTGATCTGTATTGACTGATGTTTGGGTTTGTCTAAGTGAAGCCATTATTGATCTCTATTGGCTGATGTTTAGGTTTGTCTAAGTGAAGTCATTGTTGATCTATATTGATTGATGTTTAGGTTTGTCCAAGTGGGTAAGAAGGAAGGTTCAGACATACCAGGCCTTTGATGCAGCCATGGACTCCATTGACAAGTTCACTAAGGCCAGGCAAAAGGATATGCCCATTGTCAAGTGAGTTATACCAGAAATCTATACCAGTTCATGATTCACATACTACAGAATATCAGTTTGAAATGATATTGTGTAATTGTCTTCTTTGTTGAATTAAATTTGAAAACTTAACATTAGTAAAGAATGTAACCATAATAATATCAAGTACAAGAATAATTTGTTGAGTATCTGTATATACATTATAATTTTAACATCTTATATTTTATATGCACTAATTGCATGATTTGATAGCCCAGACACCTCATTTATTCCTGGGACCCCAGTAACACCTGGACAACACCTAGGATCACAGATGACCTCGCCGACTACCTCTACGCCCTATGCCTTTGGGTCGGAGACACCCATAGGGAAAGGATTCTCATTAGAAATCCCTCTTAAATCCATCGTAAAATCTCTCAACACATTACTAGGGTCACCTGAACAAGGAGCAGGAAAAGCAGATCAGTGTGTAATGATGTCACCAACTGATGTTCACAAAAACCAGAGTTACGAGAGTCTGGTGCAGAATCGACAGGTGGTTCAACCAGAAGTTTCAGCCAATAACAACCAGTTAGCCCTAAATAACCAGCTATGCCTTCCTTCAGCACAGCCTCTGAATCACATGTCTGAGATAATGAAGGTCATTAACTCTTCCAGTGCTCCTAAAGACAAGCCATACTACATCATCATAGGACAAGGGACTCCTCAACAACAAATGTACCTGATTGAACCTCCTCCAAAACTGGCACCACAGCCAGGAAATAAGGTGGTTGTGCCAACCCCAAATCTAGGTCAATGTCAAACACCAAGCAATGTCATTGAGCAAACTAAGAAAGAGCTTAAAGGGCAAACACCAAATAAAGGTATTTTGGGTCACACACCTGGAAAAAGTTTACTCCAAACTAAAATGGGATTGACAAGTCAGCAACCAAGGACAGCTACTACTGAAAGTGTGCAATCAAATCAGAAAACAACTATTTCCTCAGAGTCCACAAGACCTGTCATAGATCTGACTGGAAATTCAGAACAACCAAAAGAAAGCAGTGAGAAAGAAAAAGTTATTGATGGAAAGTCAGATAAGAATATTGAAACATTTCAAAACGATAAGAGTTCTGAAAAACCAAACCGATTTTACAAGTTCTGTAGCATTAATGATCCTCAGAATCCAGAAACTGTGAGAAAAAATCCTGTGGGCAAACTACAGGAGCCCGTCACTCCTGTGTTGTTTGTTGAAAACTCACAAGATGAAGATTCAGTAAACAACGAACCAACTCAAAACAATGTGGTGTCCACATCCAGAAAACCCTTGTTTAGAAAGACAGAAAAGGGCAGTAGTAAACCAAGTGATGCTGTACAAAGTTATGATAGTGAGAAAGAATTTAAAAGCAGTAAAAAATCAGCAACAACAAAGGAGTTGGAAACTAGTCATAATAACACAGACTCAGCTCTGGGTGAGGGCACCTCAGAAAAGGAGGAGGATTGTCATTTGAGGACAAGAAGGGGCCCTCGAGGACTGAAGAGAACCTCAGTCCCAAAACCCAACCTGAGGATGTCCAAGCGCAGAAGAGGGGTGGATTTTCTTGATGACAAAGATGAGGGCAAAGAAAATCAGGTTAGGTATACAGTACACATTTACTGTATTCATTGTAATGTAGGAAGATTCAGTGTCAGATTAGAATCCTTAATTAGTAATCATTGTGTCTATCTATCTGACAACAACTCTTATTAAACAGTAATAACCTGCTGTTTTGTTTTTCTTTTAATACAGATTTTCCCTAAATATTATTACATAAAATTTTTACCCTCTTTTATTGCCCAATCCTAGCCCAAGGACTTGTGTTAAAGGTTCCAAATTAAAACCAGAAAATATTTGAAAAAGTTTAATCATTATGAAACAGAAAAGCTTGTATGAATTGGTTAAATGAAACAGAAGTGTCTTAGTATCTTACAAAATTCCCCCCCCCCCCTTTAAATTGCATATTTATCACTTGTTTTAGTATTTTAATTATTTTATTATTTATTTACTTATTATATTCTTTATTACTTCAGTCTATGAATCAGTCACAAGCCAGCTGTAAAGTCTGTGGTCAGATCTTGCTCACTCCTCTTGGTGGTGTGTATTAATTTACATCTACTTAATATGAAATAGGTGTATTTTACTTTAAAATATCCAACATACTCAGTATTTTACATCTTTTATTTTGATAGTCAATTTCTTGTATATAACTTGAATTTTTTTATATCTTTTCAGAATTTGAAAAAAGGAAACGAGTTCCAAAATTTCTGGCCCATTTGGATCTCTTTAGGAACAAGGCTGTAATATTTACTTCAAACAAAGAAAAAAAGAGCTGTTTCCAGCCCTGTACTGCAGACAATGGAGGTAAGTAAATACATGGAGATGTTCTGAACAGATTCAGATCAAACTTTTATGTGGAGCTTTATTATAAGGACTTCTCTTTTATTGTATGTTGTTTTCTCTGAGCTTATATCTTTTACTGGCAGGTATATCATTGAACAGTGTCTGGTGTCATGAGGAGCAATGTTGTGTACAGTTTATTTCCTGTACAGGGTGTCACAAAATTGGTCAACCTGATAATGTGATCGGAGCTCAGATTCTGTTTGTGGACAATTCAAACTCATCACACGACCTTGAGAAGGGTCAGGTATGATAAAGAACAAGACATGGTATTAGCAGTAAATGGTTGCAAAATTTACAATGTTTTAATCCTTTTTGTTTCCTTCATCATACCCTTCGCTTGAAAAGTGGAGGTATCTACCGTATATACTCGCCTACAAGTAGGTTGTATGTTTTAAGCTTAAATTAGAGGGATTGACCCACTAAAATACCAATCTTTTTATAACTCGCGATAAGTCAGATAAAGAGTTTTGGACCAAAGTTTAACTCCCAAAAAACCGACTTGTAGGCGAGCATATACGGTAGTGATGGGTACATGTATGTCCATCTGTCCGTCTGGTACGCTTGAGGTTACCATTCCTTATCTGCAACTCCTCCTATACCACTGAATAAAATTTATTAAACAACCAAAATTATAACAACAGTATTAATATCAATAAATATCAGTATTTATCAGCAACAATTGCACAGTATCAGTAATCTTTATCAGTAAAATTTGGGATTCTCAGCACTTTTTTCATCCAGTAGTGTTGGTATACATAAAATCAATGATTGTTTAATGTTTAGTTGTGAACAAATAAAAATATCTACGTGTATCTGTTTACTTCATAGCAGTATTAGAAAATCCAAAGAATAAAAATATCTTTTTTTTGGTAAGAAAACAGTTCCTGATTAATACTACATAGATTGTTTCTTAACTCTCAAAAGTTAAATGTTTGTGAAATTTCCAAATGCATGTATATTTCGCAAATATTGCATACAAAATCACCATGCCTTTGTACACATACATGATTGTACCTGGTTCATTTATGCAGATGTTTATTTACAAGTGTAAAAGTTAAGATTGGTAGGGTGTGTTGGGGGGGGGGGGGGGGGGTAAAGGGTTCCAAACCCATTTGACTTTTGTTTGTTTTTAAGAAAGATGATACATGTACAACACTGAATTCAATCAATTACTTTGTTGAAAATCCCCACTTTTTCAACAGCTTTAATAATGTAATGAGATGAGTGTCTGACAATGAAAGGGAAGGTACCGTGTTTGATTCTCAGGAATGCTACACTTTAAATAACATTATGAAATTTTCTAAGTTCTTGCACGGGTAGAGGCACGGGAGGGAGAATTTTACATAACAAACATCGTTTTCAATGAAAATGGCAAATCTTCATTCCTGAAAAGTAATGGAGTGCTCAAGCAAAAGAGCGACATCACAAGTGGATTTTAATAAACTATCCAATAGAATAGATGTGTATCTTCTATTGGACTTCTGCAAAAAGCACCAACTTTTACAGTCGATGGTTTAAATCTGCGTTATGTATGGAGGTGCGGAAAAGATCATATATGAGAATACCTTAATATAACTTTATATTAACTATTGTATTAGTGGTGCTCACACTTCAGTTGATGAAGGTGGGAAGGGGAGGGAGTTGAGGTTAGGGTGGTTGCTCTTCCCTTCTAAGACAATATAATATGTGCATTGCAATGGCCCATTATTATCTTTTAATAAACTGTTAATCTAAATATTGATATCGCAAAAGAGCTTCCGTACATTGTCTTAGTGTAAAAGTTAGCTGTCTAATGTAAAAAGTCAGTGCTTCTCGCAAAAGTTCAATAGTTGCAAAAATTAAACAATATATTTTAAAAAAAAAATTTTAACTAGTGCTAATTGTAACGGGAACCGTTACAGATGTTCCCCAAACGGCTCCCCAATTCCTTATGATGCCCCATTCCCTACAAGCTTCAATAAATTAGACTATACTTTTGTAGTATAGATGGACACTTTATTAATAAGGGTATGTCATTGGAAAACTACTCCGATATAGCCATATGGGTATTAGCCAATCAAATTTCAGCGCATGTGCTTGCTTCTACATTTTTCACATTAATTTTCTTATAGTGTCTCACAATACATACATTTGTGTTAAATATTAAAGAATTTCATTGAAAAACAAGAGAGATGTAACCCTTTAAGTATTAGCCAATCAGAATTCAGCATACGCGCATGCATGACCTTGCATTCAATTTTGATAGTATCATAATGTAGGAGCCCTATGAGCATATCCATGTCGTAAATTCCATCATGTTTTGTTGAAAACCAAATGAGTTATAGACATTTAAAGTCTCAGCCAATCAGATTGCAGCACACCTGCCTGCGCGTGGTTTCAAGAGATTTCCTATGTAACATGTTGTAGCACCTTATAATATATACTTATATTTTAAATTTCAAAGTATTTCGTCAAAAAACAAGGAAATTATTGAGATTTTTGTATCAGCCAATCAGATGAGAGCGCACGTGCATGCGCGTGAGTTCATGCTAATTTGACCATGTCAACTTGTCTAGACTACTAATATATCTTTATATTTTGAGTTTCAAAGCAATTCATCAAGAAATATAAAAGTTACGGCTTTATCAAGTATATCAGTCATTTCACTCAATGCACGCGCGCGCACGTGCATGCATGTGCGCGCAAAATGACCTTCGTTCCGCACACCTACACAACATGCCTATTAACCCTAAAAAGGTTTCATGTCAATCGGATGAGAGGTTCTATGAGAACACTCCCGGACAAAAAAGTACCGGAGAAGAAAGTAGAAAAAAAGAATAATAATAATAATAATAATAAGAAACAGAGTAAAAACAATATGTTCCCAAACTTCGTTTGGGGAACATAATTACTGAAAATTGGAGGCGGTGCTTATTTTGTGTCAGTATGTAATGAATTAAGGAAGTACTATTTGGCAGATGCATGTAAATTTTTCTAAAATCTTATTTAAAATGTTTTTATCTTTCAGATGTGGATAATTGCTGCCAACGTATCTATAGAAGATTGTTAGTGTCTTGATATTTATATAATGTATATGAATCACAAATTAGGAATAAATTTTTACAAAAGAATTGTTGCTCTTGCACCTCTGTTGGAATCGGGGAGGAGATCAAATGTATGTTTAAAAAAAAAACTTGCTATGAATGATTTAGGGTTCAGTTAAGAGGGATGCAGTCAAACTATTTCGAACTTGATGGGACTGAGAAAAAACTGATTTGAGATTATATTTGCACGAAAGAGATATCCGCGAGATTTGTGACCTTTTACTTTCGAAATTATTTATTTGAATATATATTCAAACTATTTATTCAGTTACACATTTATGCAGAATGTTTTCTCAGTCGCAAAACTTAATCATCGGAAATAGATATCCTTCTGAAAAATGGATTTCCTACTGATGAATCCCCAAGAAAAGTTAAGAATAATAGCTGGCATAGGAATGAGGTTGAAATACACGAAGAAAAACTAATTGGGACTTCCTATTCACTTCAACATATCAGTGGTATTCGAGATACCAACTTTTAAGACACGGTAGTTTAATTTGTCTCCCTAGGGCGAGAGGGATGTCAAAACCAGCAAAATTAATTTCTTTAAAAATCTTTACTCCAGGACAGTCCAACAGGATTGATTATATCAAGAATTGGACCTCAATTTCTAGGGCCTGAACCGTGGACGTAGGAGTTTTGCGCAAAGTTGGTTAAAGACCGAGTATTTCCATTCAAATCATGAGAACAGTTTGCCTGCTAGATGCCCAAGGATGAAGATTTTTTTTTTAAAGAAATAATCCATTTTCAATACTAGTACATGACTAACGTTGCCCCATCCTAGAGCCAAACCATGAATCCAGGGGCTATGAATTTCACAATTTTCCTAGAGGACTCATTGCTTATTATAATCATGCCAAAGAGTTTGACTTAATTCTCGAAGATGTAAAGAAGAGTAAAGATTTTGGAAGATTTCATTAATTTTGATGGGTTTAGCCCCAGGCTCCTGGCAGACAGAGACTGAAATTCTCAATTTATCCATAGATGCTATGTACACAAAACTGGCTCAGAGTTTCCTGAGAAGATGAAATAAGTTCAAGAGTTTACAGACAAAATCTGATGGTAATAGGTTACGAACAAAAATGGATGATTACCATATTAACCCTTTTGTTGATCCCAGATCATCCTTTTTTTAGCTCACCTGAGCCGAAGGCTCAAGAGCTTTTCTGATCAAGAAGTGTCCGGCATCCATCTGTCTAGCTGTCTGTCTGTTGTGTTGCCTGTAAATTTTTCACATTTTCCGACTTTTTTTTTTTAAGAACCACTGTGCCAATTTCAACCAAACTTACCACAAAGCATCCTTGGGTGAAGAGGATTTAAATTTGTTCACAGGAAGTGTTATGTCCTCTTTCAAGAGGAGATAATTAAGAATTTGTAAAAAATAATAGAAATCTTCTCAAGAACCATTGGACCAGAAAAGATGAAATTTATGTAAAAGCTTCTTTACATACTGTAGATTCAAATTTGTTCACATCGTAACTCCCAGGGGTAGGGCGAGGCCACGACAAGGGGTCATGGTTTTACATACGAATAAATAGGAAATATCCTTTATAAATCTTCTTAAGAACAGCTAGGCCAATTTTTGTCATATTAATACAAAAGCATTTCCAGGTAGTGTAGATTGAAGTTTGTTCAAATCATGACCCCCAGGAGTTTGGTGAAGCCACAGCAGGGGATCAAAGCTTTACATAGGAATATGTAGTAAATATCTTTAAAAATCTTCTCAAGAACAGCTAAGCCGTTATTGGTCATATTTATATAGAAGTATCCTCAGGTAGAGTAGATTCAATTTTGTTCAAATCATGATCCCTGGGGGTAGGGCAGGGCCACAACAATGGGTCAAAGTTTTACATATTAGGAATATATAGGTGTAATGGTTAAGGGGCATTTGCGTAAAATGCATTGAAGACTTGAAATAGTGGAATGACCTGACAACCCTTGGATTGGACTAGCTAAAAGGTATATAATGCAAAGCTTTGGGGGAGTCAGGTATTCAGAAGCTAGGAGAAGTTGGCTGTTAGATTAGCAATAAAGAAGTTAAGGGTAAGAGCAAAATAAAAGATATAAGCACTAGTGGCAAGTAACCTAGGGAATGAATTGATGTTAAGTCGTGGGTGTAGTAAATCTGAAGAAGATTGAGACATCCGGTTCTTATCTATAAATATGAACCTAGGGGAAAAACATGGTGCAAGTAGTATCTACCCAGTCCTCATCTCAAGAGAAAATTTAAGTACTGTGTTATATACCCTCAGACAGAGCTGTCTTAATAATCATTCCAGTCATTAACTCAGAGTAAAAGTAAAACCTATATATCCCTTATAAGAACCTGATCATACACATTACATAGGAAAAACCTTGAAAAATCTTCTTCTCAAGAACAACTAAGCCACTATTAGTCATACAGAAGCAACCTTAGATGTTGCAGAATAAAGTTTGTTCAAATTTTGACACCCCCCCCTTCCAGGGGTTGGGGGGTACATCAGATGGTCTAAGTTTTATATAAGAATATATAGGGATCATCTTGAAGAAATCTGCTGCTCAAGAACATCGAGGCCATGATTAGTCATATTATTATAGAAGCATCCTCAGGTAGTGTAAATTCAAATTTTGAGTGTGGGTAGGGTGGGGCCACAATGAGCTCAGTTTTACATAGGAATACATAGGGGAAAAAATCTTTAAAATTCTTCTGCTCAAGAACAGCAAAGCCATGATTAGTAATATTGATTAGTAATATTGATATGGAAGCATCATGAGTTAGTGTGAATTTAAGTTTGTAGTAGATCACCATTTTCAGCAGCAAAAGGATGTGGTATTGACTATTTCAAGAAAACAAGAGTAGGAATGTAATATTTTTGTCTTTTTTCCAACCTCAAGTATTTTCATATCCTTGTATTGGACTTTCAAATATTTGAAATTGCTCCTCAGCAGTGGACTTTCATGCCACATCTAGTTTTTTCAAAATTTCTGGAAATTGTAGTGCCAATTAATCCTCATCAACATATATGAATTTCAACAAAATCTCAATTTCTTTTTAAGAACCCCAGTTTTCTGATGCTCATCCATGAACAATAATGAATCTAACCCAACATACAAAGTGCATTATTTTCACATTGATGCTATATACCAAAATTGGCTAAAATTGGTGGTTCAGCACTTCCAGAGAAGAAGCTGAAATGTTCAAGAGCTTACACACAAAAACAGATAGCAATGGGTCACCTTTAAACAATAATTTGAAACTTTGGTTAATAACTTGTTACTTGCTTTTATGAAGATTTATGGCTATACACCAAATTACTGTAGACATGGTTTTTTCAGCGTGGAATGAATATTTGCTACATATGCGATCACAAATTTTCTGCAGGTATTTCTCACAGGTATACTTATTGTTCTATCACAGGTATACTTATTGTTCTAAGGAAGATTCATGTAAGTTCCATTCATAATCTATAAATGAGGCAGGAGCATCAGCAAGTATTTGACAATGGGAGAGGGGTGTCCAAGTAAACTGAAAGTACATTAAGAAATACAATGACAGTCCAAGAAATCCACATAATTTCCTACCCGTAGATTGAACAGAAATTGTAATTCCGCAGAATAATGACCTGTGGAAAAAATTATATTTACAGTATTATTATACTTTTATACATCTGTATGCGGAATATGATGTAATTTGTTTTATTCTGTATAAAAATAATATAACAATAGGCATATACATGTAACATCATAATTTCATTATAGGACATGATTATTGTGGGAGTTCACACTATAATACAGTGTGTAACATTGATTCAATGAAATCACAGTTTTAAAAAAATCATCACAGACATACTGAATAGTCAATTGAAGTGGTATTTATAATTTGGCCTTTCTGTACTCAAACTTGGCAACCTGCCGCAAATGAACTTCATCTGGTCCATCAGCCAAGCGTAACACACGAGCACTTGTGTACAGTCTAGCCAAACAGAAATCAGATGATACGCCAGCACCACCGTAGACCTGAAAAACAAAACCTGACAATAAAATATTAGTTATTGTTGTAATGCAATAATAAACATTGAAGAAACATGTCAAAATCTAGAACTAGTAAAGTATTCTGAAACTGATAAAACTCATTATGAAATAGGACATTTAGCAACAATTTAAGCCATGTGTAGTAAACAATCATTAGGGTAGTACACATTCAATAAAATACAGTCATGTTCCAGGTCTACTGAAATTACATCAAAATTGAAGAATAACTGCAGGCTAATGGTACTTGGTCATCTGTGTTTCTGTGTAACTGCAACAATATCATATAGCCATGAGATTAGATTGAAGCACAAGATGTTTGACAAAATCTTTCTCAGATACTTAAACACTCCTTGTATAATGTGCCACCCCTGGTACATAAAATACAACCAATATACTCTACATGGTCCAACTTAGCACGTTCAAACTTCAGCATAGATGTCGCTGACTATTTGGCATAATCATGAATTAGAGCTTTCAGTTTTTTCTATGAATAATATTTAAATAAAATAACTCTTAAGCAGTGTTCATGAGTATTTGCTGGAATGATAGTACTAAAATATGAACCACGCTTTATAGATAGATATTTCTGTACTTTTCCACTCATGGACTCACTCAATGGCCTTTTTAAATATTGTTCAATAAACGTACTTGCAGAAATGCCACGCACCTGTTAAAGTTTTGATGAATTATATTTTCTGTATTCCTGTCGTGAAATGCTTCGAAGATGAACCTCATCTGGGCCATCTGCAAGTCGCAGAACTCTGGCCCAGGAAAACAATTTGGCAAGAATAAAACCGTCACTCAGACCAGCTCCACCATGGGCCTAAAAGGGAACCAGTTTAAAATAAGTCCTTACAAGATATACTCATGCAGTGATTGATTTCAGTAAAACCATATTCAGTAAATTCTGTCTACTTGGCAATAAAAAATATTCATACATCCTAAACTCAAGAGAGACCACCTTTGGGGGTGAGTAGGTTGATTCAGGAATCCAGACAGTGTGAGAAGTCCAAGTC